TCGAGCGATCAACGTCGCTGCGAGGCGCGCGGGGCGCTCGTATCCGCGGGTCCGCGAGCGTTGCGTCGTCGCGAGGCTAACGAGCCACGCTTTAATAGGCGAAGTTACGTTTCGAGTCGTAAAATCGCGACTGCCGGTGACTTTATCGAAGCGGTGCGGTCGGGGGGCGAGGAGGGAAACTAGCAGACGGAGAGAGCGTGCCGTGGGTAAAAGCGGGACGAGGGACGAAAGGTTGTAGCCAGAAAGAGACGAAGGGGCTCGGCCGAATGCTAGAGCCAGACCAGCAATATCGAGATGAGTTATTGTTCGCGGAGCACAATACGCTCAAATATGGAACGTAGCCGAGAAATTGATAGAAAAAAATCCGTACGGCTCCGTACCAAAGGCTGTATTAATTCCAGCCGGGCGTTTCAGCAAACACGAATCACCGAAAAAGTCCGCGTTAGAAAAGCACGCGCGTATCCGTGGACATGTAGAATCGTTGGATATAGCACAGGAGGAGTACTCATGGATTATGACTGTAGGGTTCGGATAGCTGTAGGCTAGCGATTTTACATTGCGGGAGCAAACACTGTGCATAAAGGGGGAGACGAATTGTATTAGGCGGCCGATACTAAACAATGTATCGCCATTAAATAGACTTAAATCGTGGGTCGGGCCCTCCCCATCTTCGCTGGATCGATACGAGGGAATTCTCTGGCGGCCTTTCGTACGGCGGATGGCCAGGAAGGGGGGGAAAAGGGACAGAGGGTGTCGAGCGACCACGAGAAAACGCGGCGACAAAGGGAAATGGAGATGGAAAGAGTGTGGCAGTAGGGTAGGGTGAACAGTTTAGCAAGGGGGACACGGTCCCTCGGTCCAAACGTTTCGCGGCACGCTTCCACCCTGCTTTCGTGCCTCGGCTACGACGACGGCTACGACGTTTGCCTCACAGCACACCGCCGTACAGAGAAACGCCGGGGACGAATGACTCCTCGTAAATCGATTACGTGGACGGAAAACGCCATGGTTTTCGGTCTCGAAATTCCCCGCCGTTACACGTTTCTCCCCCTCGTTCGGCAGCCGTGAAAACCCGGCTCTTATCCGTTACCGTTATCGTTATTCTACCGACAGATTATTTCGATTTTCGCTCGGAGAGAAAAATCCACGGAGATATCGAAACCAGCTAGATATCGAGAGGACAGACATCTCGTTTCGAGAATTCATGCAAGGTGCAATTTCGAAGATAAACCATGAAGAGGCGTGCTCGGTGGATGCACGATTTCTTTTATATCTCTTTAATTTAGTTAAAGCTGTACGATTTCCTCGATCGGAAGAAGGTCTGCGTGAGCGAGCTTCATCGGTTTTATGGCCCGAATGACGGACACACGTGAGTGTCCGCCGCGTAGTTTCGTCGTGGCTCGTAAACCTGTTTTCCCCGAGCGAGCTGCGTGGAGTAGCGGAAGTAAAGATTCGTCATCGCGCGTGTCTCGTCCCGTCCGATGAATTCCTTGAGGACAACGTTTTCCCTGCGCTCGTTCTCTTCTCGAGGATAGTCGAGGGCCCCGTTTTCCTTTTGTCTCCGCTTCCGGTCCGCTTCTTTCCTCTCGCGAGGGAATTTCTCGTTCGTTTTATGGGAACGCGATAATCTTGGACTCCTCTCGCGGGATTTCCGCAGCATCGTAGTAGCTGCAGCCAGCCTTACGATTCGGTAAAGCGAGAAAAACTCGCGAGCTCCTCCTCGTCCACGGATCGTTCCGCTGCTCGAGAGACGCTCCATTAAGCTTCTTCCAGGACTTTTTGCTACCGAAGAAAGACACGGAACCGAGATTCGCTGCGCGACCAGCACCGATTCCATCTGGCCTCTCTATCCACCCGCCAGTTTCCTCTGCTCTCCACTTCACTTGTTCCGCGTTCGCAAAAACTGCCGCGCCGTCCAAGGATTCATTGTTGCCTATTTTCCGGAAGCGTAGGCAATTCACCTACGGCTCTCGCCTCTGCTCTTTTCCCGAATCGATCTCCGGGGGACGCACGGTCGAAACGGGTAGACGTACGGTCGAGTGTCGAGCGTTCAAGCATCGCGATCGTCGCCGTAATAAGAATATCGATCCGCGTAACCTCGATTCCAAGAGTGTTACGCGAAACGCTACGCGTCTCGTGCCGCGAGTCTACGTGTCGCGACGAAATATTCTTCCGTCTCTCCCGGGGTCCTCCTTATTACTCATCGCTTTCTCCGTTCCCTCTGACACTCCTGGGCCATTCTACTCGCCGTCGACCCGGAAGCCGTGGACGTCCTCTCCAGCCACTGGGATGAACAACGGCCACACGAGCAAACTGATTTTCTGCTCACGCTTACCTCGTTCCTCCGAAACAACATCGCTTTCGTTCTTCTTCCGTTTACTCAACGCGTCCTCTCGCGATACGCCAGACGTGCAGAGTAAAGAATTCATCGATTCTCGTTTTCTTTCATTATATGTACAGATCGTTGGATGAACTTTTTCGCCCTGGAAGTTTACTCGGGACATCTGTAAGTTTCATTTCGCGATCATCGGTGTTCAGATCTTTTTCGGATGTGAGAAGTTCACGGGAACGATAGCTCGGTCGAAAAGGCAAGGTGGGCCCCGAGGGGGGAGCAGCCGGATTACGTTTACGCGGTCGGACTCTTTTATTACACCGTTCGCCGCGATTCGCGTACTTTCATCGATCCAGCCACTATTCGAGTGTTTGCCGTGCCCTCGAGTCGGCTGCCATCCGTTTTACTATTTGGATATTGCTGTCGTTATCCGAATAGAAGAGGACGACGCGATGGTCCATTCGGCCGTGAGCGTTGCGTCCTCGCAGTGGCCACCTCTCCCCGAGCGCTGCCACTCACGTGGATATGGTGCCGGCGGAAAAACCACGTAAAAGCAACCAGGAGAAGTGGACGAGATAAAAGGAGGGCCGGAAACGGCGATGGAGACGGAGAAAGAAAACGGCAACGGACGATGATGGTGCGCAACTTCATTTTTAAGTAATTGCCGACCCTTTCGAGAGCTTTCATCGGGGGTAGAGGAAAGGAAAAGCGCCGCCGCGCCACCGGCGTACCGCGGGCCTCTGTTCGCGCAGCGAGCATTTCTGGAGTCTCGATTAAGCGATTAAACGAACCCCCTCCGGGCTCCGATGCCGTATTTAATTTACCGCCATTCTCCGTCTACTACCTTGGAATTTCTACCATTCTCTCTCGAACCGACCCGATCGCGTCACCTGTCCTTTACTCTGTCCCCTCGTTTCTTTATAGCAGACCCCACCCTCCTCCACCGTCCCCCTTCGGCCGACGTCTCTCATTGTTTGCCACCCTTCACGGAAATCGAGCCGCGATCAAAAGTCGAATCGATTAAATTGAATTTTCGCTACGAAATTCGTTTCTCGTTACGATTTACGGCCTTGACTTCAAGCTTTTGACGTCCGGTTCACTGGAAAAGTTCGGTCGAAAAGAAATTTCGTTCTGTCCCGGGATGTGACAAGTTCGAGTCGGAGAAGGCGGGTACCATCTGCCAGAGTCGAGGAGTCGGTGCCCGAGGACGCTGCATCGACGTTTATCGGCGACTCGGAACGGTCTCGATTCGGGTGACACTTGACAGCTCGTTAGCTCCTTTCCCTGGCGCGAAGAGAAATCGTGGTCACGCTCGCCCTATTCCTGGCTGTCTCTTCGGGGGCCCGGCCGCTGCCACCAATTTTCGCGCACAATTTTCAGCGCGAATCTGTCTCGGCCGAATTTACTCCAATGCGATGCCACCGTCGTGCCCGCCGCCTCCCAACCCCGTGTTTCGTGTCTCGTGCCCCGCACCGTGCTGGCCGCGCGCCAGAATTAATTCCAGCTTCTCAGACCTGGTCCCGACTACTGCGCGGCCCGTCTTCGACCGGTTTTTTGCGGTACCGTTCGCGGCCAGAGATATTTAAAAACGTTTCGTCGCCGGCTCTCTACGTGGCAAAAATCACTTTCGTTCGCGCCGATAGAACGCTCCCCGGCGCTATCGAGACGGAGAAACATTTGGTATCGAGGCGGCCCAGGGAAACGGCAATCGATATCTAATATCTGTTCCCATCTGTTTCTTTTCAGAGTGCGGGTACTCTTATCTGGCCAGCGGGAGGATAAGAATAAGAAGAAGAAGAGAGCAGAACAGAAGCACGGGACCGTAGGTGCAGAGAGCGGCGGAGGCGGAGGAGGCTGGACAGTGATTTCGTCCATCTCGATAGACGGCCACGGAGAAAACGGCAGGTGTTCGTTGCGGAGCAGCTGCAATCACGACCACCATCTGCCGCAGTAATGCACGCCTCTTCCGAGTCTCTCCGTTCCTCGAGGTAGCGAGACTCGTTGCCCCGAGGCATCCATCCTCGATTAGACGCCACCTGAAACACGTGCCCCTCTCGGAGCCAAGGATTTCGATGGCTTCTTTCTTCTCCACCTCCTTATCTCGTTCCTCCACCGGTTCTTCAGCTTCCCGAACATCGCCGACGCGTTCCACGGCTTCCATCCTCCTCCGACTATTTTTTCTTTTTTTCCTCTCTACCTTCGCCACGCGTCGTTATCCTTCCTGTCCCGGTGTAAGGTGTCATCGATCACCGATGAGCGTTTTTCGCGGCGACAGTTGGCGAGCACGCTGGCTTCACGTTTTAAGGGTAAAAACTCGTCCGACACGTGCTGGGAAAACGCGAACCCGAATAAGAGGTCCCGAAGGTATCGCGTTACCGTTCATTTCCTCGGATCAATTTGCATGTCGATTCGCCCCGTCGCTTGCAATTAAATTCAAGAAGTGAATTACGTAAACAGGGGTGCAATTTACAAACGCGAATCCGACTGTACGAAGTCGATTCAACTGCATTCGGCAAGGCTCTCTACCTTGCCGAGATCCTCGTTGAAAGCTCGATACGACGCGACTACGTGGCGTCCTCCCACGACCGACGCGTGCCACTGAATATTGTAACACTTGACCCATTTTATCTCCCCGATAAGAGAGTGATATTAAAACAGAATTTATATGAATGAAAATAAAGCTATTAAAATATATTTTAGTCGATATCAGTCGGCTTTTCCAAATGTCAATATTAAATAATCTGTGCACATATCTTTGAAAGGATTTTGCGGATCACACAAAAAAACGTATTATATACATATATCGTTAATCATTCCAGCTTGCGATCGCGCGGTCGCATATTAATTTTCATCAACGGGATCAAGTAAATAAATTTAGCCAGTTTATTATTCAGCTATTTTTCAGCGCGTTTTAACATGCCAGAGTTTCTTGAAGCGGACGGAATTATGTCTTTATGTTCCAATTCTTTTCTCAGTTTATATTTTTGTACTTTCCCACTGGCCGTCTTAGGGTATTCGTCCACGAACACTATGTACCGTGGAATTTTGAAGGGTGCCATGCGACCCTTGCAATACTCCTTCAATTGTTCCTTGCTAGGACTCGCGCCCTTCCGAAGACGAACGCACGCGCATACTTCCTCCCCGTAAACCTCGTCGTACGCGCCAATAACTTGCACCTCGAGCACCTCAGGGTGAGTCATCAGTACGTCCTCTATATCCTATTTAAAAAAAAATGAGATCAAATAAGTTTGATAACCTTGCGCTCTATCCATTATCTGTTGAATAATCCTATAATTATTCTTAATAATTAGTATTTTTCGCACTCAATTATTTGGAAACGCGATAAACCTGTTCGTCATTCTGCAATTTAAAATTCGTTTAAATAGTTAGTAACACTTCGCTAAATTTCATAATAGACTATTAAGTAAGCTAAAAATAATTTGTAATTATTTATTTCAACACAATTTAAAATATCACGTTTCTTTTCTATAAATAGTAAAATAATTAAACTCATAGGAATGTAAACCATAAACAAGATTACCTTTGGAAAAATGTTTTCTCCGCCACGAATCAGCATGTCTTTCAGCCTTCCAACTATGCATCCGTACCCATTTTTCCTTAATACAAATTGGTCACCGGTTTTGAACCAGCCATCTTTGGTAATAGCTTTCTTCGTGTTCTCCTCGTCTCCCCAATACTCTTTCATGACGCAGTACCCTCGAATCCAAAGCTCGCCCGGGGTGTCGAAAGACACTGGCTCCCCTTTCTCGTCCACGACCTTCCCAGTTGAAAAATAGAAAAATAGAGTTATTGCAACAGACATTATTTAAGGATGTATTGGCTATACAGTCAATCCCAAAAGTTTATGCACTCTAGAAACGCAGTTTTTAAAAAGAAATCAGACGTCGGAAGAACGTTGCTAATAATAAACAACAAAAAAAAATTTTCGATTTTTCCGAGATTTTTCCAAGGGGTACCCCTTCAATTTCTTCGAAATTTTCGTTTTTTGACAATAACTCCCAAACCGTTGGATCTATGGGAAAATTGCATCAGACCTTTCTTGTAGAGGGCGACGAGATCTACAATTTCTGTATAAAAATTCTTCGCTAGCTTCAATAG